TCTCATGGAGAACATTGATTCCCCCCTTGGGAATAACAAAATATTGCTTTTTCCTCAATTACATTTTTCAAATACTGAGTGGATATTCTTAGTGAACAGCTAACATATTTGTTAGCATTTATCATAGAGCATTACTGAACACTTAGGATTAAACACCAGAGGCATCCTAAACCAGGACAAGGATTACAGTAGCCTTTCAGGAAGCTGCACTTTCAGTGATGTTTGCAGTTGTCATTTCCCACCCTAAGTCTGGCAGCATGATTACAGAAGCATCCTGAATTCCCGCTTCTTCTCATCCTCATTTAAATGCAGTTCTGACTCATGAATATACAACTGTAGATACAGCAAAACAAATCTATTCAGGTTACCTCAGACTTTTTTGAGGTAGAAGGAATAACGCATGCAAGTCGTTTTCTGTTCAAAAGACAGAACAGCTCTTAAGGCAGTTCTGACGTGAAATACCTTCTTTCTTAAGCTCTGAATATAGAACCAGCCACTAAACTCACATGGACAGTGGTGAAATTGGCTGGAATGAAAAATTAGATTTGTACATGTCAAAACCAGAATGTGCTATCAGAAATAAAGGCAGATTCAGAAAGGCTGCTAAGGAGAGCAGCAAAGAAGCTTTAATTGCTGAAGTGAGACATCCAAATTAACACAAGACCATATCTGCATAACTGAAAAGACCGTGACATAAAATAATGTATGTTCAAATAAAAAGCCATAAAACATTAAAGTTCCTTGAAATTTCTATCAGAAAATCAAATGCAGGTATTCAAAGAGAAGTGATTTAGGCAATTATTTTAAGGTTACAAGATCAAATCCCCTTTTTATTACTTTATATTTGAGCACATACATTAATATCAACTAGTTTTCCAGTAAGAACAGAAGAATTTACTCCAAGTATTTAGAAACAGGCAGGAATTTACTACTTGAGAACAAAATGTAGAAGACCACAGTGAAATGGAGGAGAGTACAACAGCAGTTTTTACTGACCCTCTTGAGCACACAAAGATCTAATCTCATTCCCAACCACTTTAAATGACACCTGTGGGCAATGACTGACAAAGAGCCACCTGTGACTTGCATAATGAAGTGAACTCCAGTACTCCTTGTACACACACGTGTGTTAGAAGGAAGAGTAGAGAAGAACAAAGTTGCACTGATCACCTTTGCTAAACTAAGCTAGATTCTTGCTGATCCCAGGCATATTGTCCCCACAGTCCTGTATTTCTGGGTGATCTGACACCTTCAGCTTAGCAATATTTGGCTCTGGCATCTCAAGCATTGGATTCTGGTAGAAGGAGCCTACAAGTAGAAATTTGATGGAGGATCTTCAAAGAAAAATCCTGCAAACGATTTTCTGTGTGTCCAATAAAGCTTGAGGAAATGAACTTAAGCTTTTGATTCACCAGTGTTTTACACTGTAGTGCAACCACATATACCCATATAAATCCAATGTACTGTTAACATTCACCTCCAAAGTAGAACAGTACAGATTTCTACAAAACCTCTAATACTACTGTGAGAACCTTTAATTTTTTAACTCAACAGCAAATTGTCAGATGTGGAGATGCAGTCAACAATAAAAAGGAATAATAAAACAATACAACTTTCATTACTTAATAGTAATGAAATATTGCATTTATATGCTCTTAATATGACAACAACTTTTTCCCTATCTGAAACTGCCAATATACAAATTTTGCCAAAGAAAATTTGTTCCTTGAAATTCAAGACTTAAATTTCTTAAAAATTGAAAGTTAGTTATTTGATACCAAATAAAGATTCACCCTTCATGCGATTGTTAAATAAGGAGGTGTTCAAATTCATGCTTTATAGCTCAAATAAGCCTCAGGTTTCTGTTCGAACTCAAGAAGCAGGAAGTGCTTTATTCCTTGTGCATCTTTATCACAGAGCAGCTTTGCCACTGTTTGCTTCTACACCTGAACAAGACATTACCACTCCAGTTTTTACTTTCAGTGTCCCTCTGGTACTGGTGGCAGCTGTTCAAATCAGAGCACAGTACTCTGCTCATGGTACAGAGCAGCCATTTTACCTCTGGGAGCTCTTTCCTCAGTCCTATAAGACAGAGATGTATAGCTAAGAATTCCCAAACCCTCTTGGAAATTTAATTGATTTCTAATGTAATGATGATCTGACACCTGCTGGATCTCCAAGAGCAGAAACCTGGCATGATTTATATTTCTATAAGCATTTTTTTAAGGCCCTGGAAAAAAACTGCTTGAAAGGAAACATTCCACTCCCCCAGCAAATTCATGCTTTGCTTGTGTCCCGATTACTATAATTATTCTCTACTCACTTTGAAATATACTATTATGATAGTTCAGATTTATTAACGTGGCAAGACTCTGAAAGAAAGTGCTAAGCTATTTTATGACATGAAGCACAAAACATTTATTGTTTGCATAATTTCTCCCCCAAGTCCTTTGAACGTCAAAAGCTATTTCCTCATACAGAAAGGAAAGTACTATTCTTAGAAGACAACACAAAGAAAAGTTCACGCTCTCAGACTTCAAGCCACCCCTAAAATAGCAAGAATAAACTTACCATTGCCTTATCTCATTATTTAGTTGGAGTAAATTCGTATTCTGAAGTCACATACAGCTTCTTACCTTTGTCCAGTGGGTGCAGAGCAGTCAGTATAAGAACAAGGATATGTTTTTAAAAGGAATGCTCATTGTGGGCTTGTTCCAAGCCCATCTAATAGCGGTAACCACAGAGTAAGAACAAGCTGCTTCATTTATCCCATGCTAAGATAGCGAGAGACTTCAGAACAAATATGCCAGTTTAGCAACAGGGAGTGTGCTGCTTTCACACAGCTACCCCTAGGGGGTCAGAGTTACTGTTATTCCAAAAACAATCTACATTTCAGATTCAATACAATAATCAGCATTCAAAGCTTCATTCACAAAAATTGAAGCTTAAGACCTGTTTCTTAAAAATCTCTAATTCGATAAAAATCACCCTTCATCCCACATCAACACAAACTATTTTATGCAACACAAAATTACTTGATGAGTTTTTATAGAGTAGAGTACTATTGGCATTTCCATACATTAGAGGAAAAGAGAGAAATACTCACTGATGATAGCAGTGTTGTTCCAAATAGTAAGGCAGGCAGAAGTAATTACTTAAGACTTCCTTAGATGCTTTCTGGATGCTGGATCACCCAATGATAACATAGCTGGAGATGAGGGAACCCTTCCCAAAGTACATCAGCCTTTCGTGGTACTCTTTCACTTAATGTAAATACAGATTCTAGGAGTCTAGACAAGGTAATGCTGCTTTGTTACCTCAATTTAATACAGTTTTCGTCACACACAGCTCTGCAACCACTAACACAGGGAGGCAAACCTTCGTGGAGTCCCTCCAAGCATACTGCATGGTTTGTTCCCTCAAAAGATAACTTCATGAAATCAAAACTTCTTCCCACTGACCACCGTGGCTTTTATTTTAACTTTTATTTTTTCAGATCAGGTTTGAAGTGTGAACCACATAGAACCACGCTTAATTTGCTGGCACGCAGGGCACTAATTAGTTACAATTACCAGCTGTAAAAGCTTTACTAAGTAGAAACAGGCATTAATTAGGTTTGCAGCTCCAGAGCCAAGGAAGGTCAGCACGTGAGGCTGATTGGACGCTTGTTGGATCAGTGCACACAAGGAAAGAAGATCGAACAGGAACATCACAGCTTATCACACATGATAAACAGCACGATTGCAAATCAAGTTGGGATGGCTTATTCTTTTGCAGGGCTTAAGCTGTGTGTGCAGATCGTGGTAACGCACAGCGATCACCGCTCCGCCAGCAAAGCAAATACATAGAGGAAACAATGTTTCCATGTGGGATCGTGCCTTACCTGCTCCGCTATCTCCTAGCACAGACACATCGAAACTCGTTACAATGGATGAAATCGGTCCCCATGAAGGGTCCAGCATCCCGCACCAGAAGAAGGGCTCTCACGGGTGGGAGCAAAGAGCACAGATGGTGAAGAGCATTGCAGCGCCCTGCGCTCACCTGCAGCGCATGGTTAGCAAACGCACGCCGCTCCCGCCCGAAGCTTTCCTTCACCTGCCGAGCGCTGATTGGCTGCTGGATGCCGCCGCGCGCCGGGTATGCAGCGAGCTCGTGCTGCTCTCCTCAGGTGGTGCTCGCGTGGAAAACGGTGGGAGGAAAGCTGAGAGGGAGAGATGGGTGCTTCTACCCGAGGGATTTTGCTAAATTTGGCCGCCAGGGATTTCGAGCGCGATCTGACAAATTCGGAAAACAGGTGTTTATTTTGGAAAGTTTGCATTCAGTGCGAAAGAAATGAAAAAGTTTGGAATGCAAGCTCTTGAAATGCGGTAGAGAAGGAAAGGAAGCAGAAGAATGACCCGATGCAGCTTCCCGTGAGCAACAAGCTGCTGGTCGTCCAAACGACCTTTCTGATGAGGAATAAAAGAATTCAAAGTCTTTGCTTTTTCTGCACATATGTCAACATGCAGCAGAAGCATGAAAAATAGCTTGTGCCATCCTTGCTACTTCCTACAGGAGATAAGAGAATACGAGCTAATAATACGCAGCAGCATGAAAAAGTGCAGTTGCACAAATGCTGGGTGTTCAGTGGTAAAACAGTCAGAAGCTCCGGCACCTCTCACCAGCTGGGCTTCTCTTGGAAGCTGTTGCTCACAAGGTACTCATGCCTTGTTTCACTGTATGCTAGGCATCTTTTGAGCATGATAACAGCTTAATCAGCATAACTTAAATAGGCAAAAGTGATTTTCTGCCTTGTACCTTTCCCATCTTCTAAGCAACATCACTACATGCATACAGGATCTGTTAGATCGTGGCCAGAGCCGGTGATTGTGCACCTGGTGAAAGCACGGCCAGCCCTGGGAGCACAGCTGTGAGCAATTCACCTGCGCGACCAGAAGTCGCTCCTCCCCCAAACTCATTTAAGGGCTGGCAGCGAAAAAGGAAGCACGTTTACTTGGACACTGCTTCCCATAGAAGTTTTCTGTTCCTTGGAAAGGGTAAGATGTTTTTTTATTGCCAGGTTGTGATAGCTCCTTTCTTAGGTAGTCTAAGGTCTGGTTGGTGGCAGTTATTTTCTCTGCCTTATGCTTTGCACTGTGTAGTTGCTCGTCTATCAGTGAAATTCTGTGAGTAGTTTCAGCCTACTGGTATTAAAGGGAGGGGAGGGAGGGAGTTATAAGCACTTCCTTAGTTTAGTGAGGTTTTTTTTACTTCTCCCCTTGTTACTTTCCTTACTAATGAGGTATCCTGTACTGTTCCTGTATTATTATTATTTTTCTTGTTGCTGCCTGCCTTTTATTCTTTCTGTTCTCTTACTTTTGCTGAAGTAACTACTGACTTCAGGTATCAAATGTGCAGTTCACATTAGTTTTTGTTGTTAGTCTGCTAAAACTTCAGTGAGGGTAGAAGAGCTTCCTCTGGGAAGAGAACTTCTGATGCTTCCCTCTTTTTCTGTAACACTGATGATGTTTGTTGCTCAGCCACAGTTGTACTATTCCCTACAAATCTATGCTGTGTTTTTCCTATGGAAGATACTAGATATTTCTTATATCGCTTATGGAAATGTGTAGAAAAAAGGTTTTCTCTCAATGTGCTTTCTGTTTTTCTTAGTGCAATAGCTGACTGAGAAAGGCCTCTTATTATGGAGAGAAAGTTTATAACTTCTTGAAGAGAAATTCTTTGTCCCTAAATACTTAAAATCAAACTTCTAACGATCAAAATTAATGATTTTGCTGGTAGTTTTCCTTAGCAGTAATTCCACGCACGTGCACACCTCTAAACACAAATCCTCCCCGATATCTGGAGTGATGACCATGCTGTTGTTTTGGGTGATGGGTTTGAAACATTCTCTTTTCTTTTTCCAGGAAGTTACTCTGCTGGAAACAGGCTTCTGAGATGTAATTAAAGGTAATAGCTTCAAATCCACTGAAACTCTTAAGTGTTTGTTACGTGCTCTTAAATATCTATAATTGAATATGCAGCTATGAATTCAGTCAATTTTTCTGAAAATATTTCAGCTCATTAGCTTTGTAAAATCTCCTGGGTCAGTCATTAGATTACATTTACTGAATACCTTCTTTTCTCATCCCTTTCATTTTCTAGTCAATGCTCAAGCCTGTTTCTGTGCAAAGGACTTGTGCTTGAGAAATGAGCAAACTGCATCTTGGTTTTGTTTATATACATTTAAGTCCTAATCAAAACTCTTATGCTGAAAATATTTGGGTTAATTTTAGGCAGTACACTCAGCAGGATTACTCATGAGTAAATATTTCCATGATTACTTTTGTCATAGAATGTAGGGTTGAAATGAAATTTGAAGTCTTAGTATATTTCTTTATTTTGTGAATGTAAACTTCACAGGAGGACACAGTTTTTTGTTCTTTCTTAAAATATGGGTCAAAATTATGAATTTTTCTAAGGGAGTTTATCAAGATATAACTTCAGTGATTATATGAGAATATAAAATACAAATACTTCCTTTGTGTTGCTATCCTTGGCTTTCTGTAAGATTGCTCAAAGTTAGGATTATAAATCTTACCATAGTTTTGCATTTAGTTCAAACAGAGAAATCACATTATTTTCTGACAAATCTCATGTTTAGCTGCTAATGAGCTAGCAAATGTAATTGGATTTTGATTAATTCTTGTTTACATCTCTATTTTTTTCTGAACTGTAAGTGATTATTTCTCTTTACCATGTCCTAAGCTCAATGAACTGTTTAGGTTCTTCAGGTGAAAGCACTGAAGGTATTTGGGATGATACTTTTTATCTCTGTGTTAAAGAGGTGAAAATAACACTGGCAAATAGAAGATCAAGCAAGTGGGTAGAACAGACCTAATCACAAATGTGAATTACAACTCACTTTTGTTGAATGGAACGGAGATGTTTTCCATTCTTCCTTATGCTATATTCTCCTTTAAAATAATACAAGTGAGGCAAAATGTGTAGAAATGGTTAAAGAGGAAAATTATTCTGAAAAAGCCTGACAAAAACTTGATTGATGTGCTAGCAAAGCAGCACTTTCTCCCTTACTGATTTTGGCTTTAGCTGATTTGTAGAATTCAGAGAATAATGTGTTCAGATCTAGTCGGAATGGAAGTGTCTGAAATGTGGCTTGACTTCTGTGGTTTTAAATGCGGAAAACTCTACATTTTGTGTAATTTCCTCTATAATTCAAATCAACTGTTCTGTGCAGAGCTGTCTGAAGAGCTTACTGGATGCTTAAGTCTGAGCTAACTCATTTCTTCTGGATGCAAGCTGAAGAATCTTCATACTAATGGTAGGAGTTCATAAGTATTACAAATAATTGCTAGTAGCTGGATGAACTTACATAAATACCCAAATAGTAGCCAGCTTAAAAATGTCACCTTCTGTTTCTTTGAATCAGACTGTGGTACATAGAAGATTATAACCTGTCATTCCAATATGCTCTGCACCCCAAGCCAACCAGTCTGTGTATTTGATATTGTGAACGCTGTACTAATTGCCTTTCAAGCTACTACACGCAGCTGAAGCACTGTATGAATTGCCATTCAGGCTGCCACATGCAGTTAAAACATTTGTGTATCTACAGTATCATACAGCTGTGACTCAATGACTTCATGGCTATCATGAGAATTATGAAATTGTGCTCTGCTTGCAAAACACTCTGTCTTTCCCCCTACACTCAGCCCTGATTTAAGATATAGCAATACAATCCTCTCACTAAGGACACTTCTTGAGAGGCTCCATAGTGAGTCTTGCTTTTGGTCACAAAAATAAGCTTTTTCTAAGCTATACCTACTCAAACTGAAGTCATTCCAGGAAACTCAAAGGCTTTTTATTAGAATCAAATTAACTGCACATCCTCTGTAGTGTAATTATAGAGCTTTTGCTGTTTAATTAAGGCACAGAAGAATACCTATTGCTTTTTCTTTGTGTAAGGCTCTGCTCAAAATAACAGCTCCTATGTTTTGTACCTGTTCTGCCTACTAGTGTAAGTTAGGAACTATTATTTTTCACTACTGGAATGTGAACCAGAGCAATTAACACCAGATTTTTTCTTTCCTGATAAAACTGTATATAATTTTCTTCTAGTTTTCTAGCCTTATTAGTGATTATTTAGATTGTGCTTGTTTTGCAAATCTTAAGCCAAGGAACAAAAATCTCATAAGTTCAGTGGTCTGTCTTCCTATTGCTGGTGAAAAATGTGTATGTAATGGGAATAGCTCTCCAGCTACTTTTGATATCCAAATTCTGTTCTAGAAAATTCTGTCTTAATGATTGAAGGTAGTAGTGCTCCCATGGTACCCAGTCATTCTCCTGTCCTCAGAAATGCTGCCTTTCAGAGATTTCCAAAGCCAGAACAAGAATAAAGGCCATAGAGAACATACTTCATCAACTGTGAAGTTACACAAAGCCATTAGGATTGTGCTTAGGTTGAACTAAGAGGTAATCCTATCCTGTGGGATTACTCATTCTTTTAATCTAAGCACACATAATACTTTCCTGCATTGGTACTGTTTCAGGCAAATATCTATTTAATACATTTGTAATAGTCAGCCCATGCATGAGAAATCCATCTTTTTCCTAAACTTCATGCACAGTTTTGCAGATACCACTGTGGGGGGGGGAGGGAGGGAATGGTCATAACACAAAATGGCAGATAATCATTACCAAAATACAATTGTCCTTGTATTTCACACTAAAAATGTAATTATTTTCAGTGATATTTGCATTTTCTCATGAAGTCATAAATGTCACGTTCTTCAGAAAGAATGATAATACTTTCTTTTAATTGACAGATGGATTTCATACATAGAAACCAGAATATAAAAGCATTTCAAAAACTACTCAATTTTCTACTGCGCTCACAAACTTGTCTACCACTACAGGAAAAACGTGATACATACACTGTATACTATTCCAGAATTCCAGCTGTTTCCAGTTAAATTGCTATTGACTTAATCTTTGTTTCTAGAAGTTATTTATTGTGAGTATGAAAACTCACAAAAGTGTGGTAATCTCATACAAAAGTCGCTTGATGTGTTGTAACTTTCGCTCTCAGTGAAGAACAGGCATTTCTTTAGAAAGGAGATGAAAAAGATAGGAGGCTCATTTGTTGCTCTTTTCCCCCAGCTGTGAAATTTCTGAAGTTGGGCAAGCATAAACTGTTATTAAAGATAGTGACCTGAAGAATTTGATTTCATTCTCTGAAGTAAGCATTGTTGTCATTGTTCTGTATTAGGCATTACTACATTTAGGGTAATACAAAAACCTAACTTAGAAGAAATGATAGATAAGTAGAAGAAATGATGAGACTCCTGCAAAATCAGCAAGATCTATCTCGGTCATTTTGTTACAGGCCTATGAGGAAAATGAAAGTGAATTACAGCTGAAAATCTGTGAGGCATGCCAAGTTAATTGAAAAGAACTTGCTCTTTAAAAAAATCTCATGGCAGGGGAAGCATCTGTTGAAACACTTGACTGTTTGATTCAAATGTCAGGGGAGCTGATTGTAAAAGGCAGATAAGGAAAGGTATAGGGTAAATAGCAAGAATGCTGGAGGCATTTATGTCACTAAAATTGAACTTTAGCCTGACACAAAACACAAAAGTGTTTTAACTTTTGTGTCAGAAGAAAAACGTCAGCGTGCTTGAGGTCATTTTAATGCCTGTATTTACTACATCACTGGCAAATACTAGAAACTAATATAAATATCTAACTAATATAAATATGACCACTAAGCTTGTAAGACAGCATGTATACAATCCATACAAAAATACAGATGACCAAGTCACCTTCCTGTATGCAGTAGGATGTGTGATTTTATTTATTTATTTTAGCCTCAGTGGCTGCAAAGACAAATGCAATTCAGATTCATTTATCTACCCTTATTCCCTCTAGCTTACATGGAATGGTAATTCTGGATAGTTCATGATTACGTTGCTGTAAAAAGTTAGAAGCCATGTCAACAGTGATACTGGCAAATAACTGTTGAAATTTTTCTTTTATTATACAATCTATGTTTGCTAGGTATAAACCATGACTTGGATCAACTACATACTCATTAAAAAATCTAACTACCTCTACCTGATACCTTCACTCTCCAGTAACTGTCACACAGTTTATTCCCTTATTCCCTCTACTTGTTCCTGTGATAACTTCTTGATACATTGAGGGGGGAGAAAAATTAACAGGATGCCTGGACTGGAAGATTCAAACTGAAAATTAAAGATAGTATCTCAGGTATGGTTCTAAGCAAAAAATGAGTGCTGTCATTCCTAAGTCTGCATAAAAACAAGGCAAAACTATGCATAGACTTCAGTTTGAAGGAACGTTTGAGCGTATCTGAAAATAAAAAATGCTGAATGGCCAGAAGAAATGACTGTTCAAATCAATATGTAGCTGACTACCTGAGCAGCTGCAGATTGCATCCTTGAGCAGACAGATGGCCAGATGCTCAGTTATAGCTCCATTGAGGTCAGTGGATGGTCAGACATATAACAGAGCCAACCTGTTCCTAGCTGAGACAAAGCCAAGCTCTTTTCAAATTCAGCAGCAAAAAGCTCTGGAACAGCAATGAACTCCTGAATACAGCTATCTGAAGCTCAAGTAATGCCACTGCCTGTATTTTGACCACTTAATAGTGCTGGTATAAATGCTCCATTTAACAATGATTTCCTGTTTCCTTTGAAGTTCTCTGTACCACTTACTGTTCCCAAGGCAGCTGTCTTGTGTTCAGGTGCTTGTAATGCTTTCTAAAATTTAATTTGGAGTTGATATTTTCAAAGTGAAGGGCAGTAAAAGTGACTTAGCTCATCTTACTTAAGGATATTTAAAAAATAAAAGAGACATTCAGGAGTTTGTAAAGTATATTTAAGTGCTGAGATAATCATGGCCATCTGAATACTTTCATATTTGGAGGCTAGCAGACTCCACTGAGTTTGGAAGCTTATATCCAAAAAAAGTCTCAAATATTTTCACTGTAAGCTTAGGGTGTGCAAAATGGGATGTTAGTAGTTAGCAAGGGATGGGCAATGTTGCACATGGTCCACCAAAACCATAGTGCAAAACATTAAATCTTCATCTTTCAGATAGGTCGCAGTGCAAACTGGAACTGATGTTTGTGTAAGAGCAAACAGCTCGTTCATGTGTGACTGAAATAAACAAACAGTTCAACTCACAAGCTAATTTCCAGACAGGTAAGGCTGTCCTCTTAAATTATATTTCAAACAGTGCTAACCTACTTTACTTTACTGTTACAGTCACTTCTATTTTATCATGTTAACTAGAACTGTGGTTTCAAATGTTCCCAGTGCTTATGTTCAGGCTTCTCTTCTGAGCAAGGCAGCTTGTTTGGTGCACTGCTGTGAGAGGAAAGATTCTTCTTTGTTTCCTCCTTTCTTCTCTTAATGAGATAATTTATCAAGCATGAGTGAAATTCTGTTTCCTTCAACTCTTCCAGAGGTAACTGCAAGGATAATGGCCCTAATAACAGCACTACTGAACTGTAGAAACAGATCAAAACGTCGTCTTAAAATTTAATTGCCAACAGAGCTGTGAACTCTGCACACTGTAGTGGAGAAAGCCAATGGGCTCATCTTATGCAAAAAGGTTAAAAAACATTAAGCACAAGGTATTAAGAATTGTTTTCATTTTCAAATGTGCTGGAGTTGATTAAGTAAATTCCTATGATGTCAAACTATTCTTCAGATTAGATGTTACATTTTGCAAATTAATTCTCTGAAATGTGAACAGGGTTTATAATTGTATTTATTAATGGCCTGCTTGTAGATCTTAATGAATTAAGTTAACACAAAAATAAGAGAGATTCTTAGCTTTAAGGGAAGAAGCCAGAACTACTGACAATAAGTTTAAAACGATAGCCAGCATTTTTTGAGATGACTTACTATGGAGACATTTACATGTAGCAGGATGACAGCCATTTTGAAATGCATGGAGGCTTTCCATGAATGCTTCTGGGATTTGAATCGGAGGCCTGTGATGTGGTGGACTAGGACAAAAATCCATGAAGCACATAATGAAAAATATCAACGCATCAAAGAGAATTAAAAAAAAAAAAAACTACTTAATGAATTTGTCTTAGTAACTTCATAAGTGACACTATTAGAATTACAATAAAAATACCAGTTTGAATCCTCTCTTTTAGAGGTGTATTATTAGCTTCTCGAGATTATAGTTTCAGGTAATTCAATTGTTTCTCAAGGAGACTTTGTTTTGCAAGAACAAAGCTTTCTTTACAGTCTTGTTCAAGACATAATTAGAACAATTAAGTCAATTTAGGTTAACCTTAGCAGCAAAGAAGCCTGCAGATATTAATAATAGCAGAATCAGCTTTGAACTAAGCTTAGACGTATTTTATTCCTATTCCTTTGAAGGCACAAATAAAATAATCTCTCTCACATGGATGGATTTGCTAGTTAATTATCCACAGCATCTGTAGCACAGAACTCACTCTTCTGCTGCTTAAAGTTTGGCAGGACAAAAGTATGACCACAATCAGAAAATTGCATCTTTGATAAAAACACTTTGACATCTTAAATTACCAAGGACTTGATGTTGGCTTGATTTGGTAAACTTACCTGTAGGTGCCTCTATTGCAAAGTGACTACGCATTGCATACCAGCTTATTGGTGCCCACGCTTCCCATTGCTATGTGCTTTTGAAAATCCTGAAATTGTTTTATTTCTCTCTAGCCTGATTTTTTTTCTTCATTTTACCCTTAATGGTTTTAGTCTGACATATCACACCTCACCAAGATTTTAGGTGTGTTCAGAAGTAAGACTTGAGTTTGTCCTTTCTAATAGATGCTGTCACAATATCTGGATCAATTTCAGATAAGAGTTAAGGTATTTGTAGCTTTTGTAGTTGTAGTTGTTTGGCTTTATATGGACAGAACTTTTTTCACCACTATGTAGGAATATACATAAACCTGAAAAGACCTCATCTATCTCTTTGAGTCATCTGGACAAATGGTCCTAGTCCAAAAAATGCCCTCACCTGGCTTAACAGGAATGTAGTGTGTAGTAAAGGTCACATCTGCATCTACCCTTACTGCATGCTTCCAACAGCCAATGCAGTGTCCCTCTGTTATTTGTGTAATTTCTAGTACAAACATTGCCAATGGTTCAGTCTCTAAATACTTTGTCTTTTTGTCAAGTTGTCTTTAGGGCTCTTTGATACTGTTTTATGTGAAATGCCATTTGGTTCATTGTTATTGCAGATATTCAATGTTGAAAATGCAATAGGCTCCACTTACAGAATTATCTAGCAGTCCTGTTATTGAGATAGAGGCTACTTGGAAACGGATGATATTATTCACCATTTCGAGAAGTTACCGTTCCCTGAGGAAATGCAAACATCCCACAGTCAGTTACTTTATTTAAGTGTAATTTAAAACCAGCTCTCAAGCATAATGGGATGTTACAGCCAATATTTATTTTTCTTTCATTAGATAAATAGTATTAAATTGCAATCCTTGAGAAAATTGTACAGACTGTATCACATCTGAATGTGTTCAAGCTTGAGACTCGCTCAGGCAAATTCTCATCGTATTCAAATAACCATCATTATGCAAATAAGAACATCCTTGTTGCCAAGCAAGTTTAAAATGGATGTTTGTTTTCATCTTGATGAATTATATTCCTCCTGGTAGCAGATAGCTATGTGCAACTCAGAACAACCACACAGGTCCTGTTTATTCTTAAGAATTCTCTTGGCTGTTGCATGCTGAATTTCTGCTAGTTGTGTAGTCTGCAGTAGTTCTTCCCGTGTATCTTGCTTGAAAAGCAGCGTAGCCCAGATTTTCTTATTACCACAGTTTTTGGCTTTTTTTTTTTTTACTGAACTTGCTCTGCCACATTCTGTATTGAAGATGTTGTACTAACCTTGTGAAGAGAGAGTAGGATTAGTAAATGGAAGTGAAATCAGCTGCTCTTAAATGCATAAATATAAATTGCTAAAGGATTTAGCTTACCTTGCAAGCTCCCTAATGTAATGACAATTGTTGTTATTTTACTTTATTACTGACAATGTGTTCCAGCAACATAAATCCCTAATGACACATCAAGATCTTGCTGTGTTTTCTGACAAGTACTTGTGATTTTTTTTTTTTTTCTGGATTACTGCTTATTAAACAAAGATTAAATGTGGCTATTAAAAATTGGCGATGTTCCAGGAAAAGGGCTCTATTTTTGTATGTGAAAGAGATATTGGGAAAGGATTCTTTAACTCTAAAAAAGTGAAGGGGGAAAAGAAGGCAGTGACAGAATAGATGTTCTATTATATAAATAGCCCAATAAGCAAAATTTTGTTTTCCTTGGACTACACAGCTACAAGATTCTCAGCAAGACAGAAAGCAGGGAAAAAGTGTTCATTCCTATAGAACATCATTTCAGATATAATTGATGCAATTTATATCGTTCTGTGTCTGGAATGATATTGCTTGATTAAATCACCTAAACACGCATTGCTCAGTGTATGATGATGACACTAGTCTGACTAATGTTAGTGTAAGCTTCTGCGTTTAAAACAACTTGAAATTAGGCAAGACTTTATATTTTTAAAATTGCAGTTTAGGAAATCAGTGCCAGAATGCTCTCACTCCTGCTCATGATCAATTATACAAAGAAAGGGGTTTTTTTTTTTACCTACATGTAACCGCCTGTATGAGCTGATGTTCATTACAGAAGCAGAGAGGTCAAATTCTTGACCTTAAATGAGACTTTAGAAGTCTGGTGTGCTACAGAATAACTACTGAAGGATTAAACAAATGCTAAGAGCATATCCAAAGCTTATACATCTCTTAGGAAAGAAAGCTAAGCTGATACCAGTAAGCAAGAAGCTCAGCTGTGTGTTAGAGACTGAGTGTCTCACAAATTTGAAGTCCACAGTTAATCTTATGGCTGAAGTCTAAGACTAAGGAAAGGAAAAGCAAGTTTCCTGGGTTTCCAGACAAGTCCTATGGACGAGATTCCATAAAAGCTTTATTTCTCCTAGGTTTAAGGGGTTGACACTGCTATCTCCAATTCCAGTCTACTTTTCTTTTTGGAACTAAGCCATAGTACATTCAAGAATGGAAAATGCATGAGCCTGGAAGAAGGAGAAATAAAAAGGAGCTAAACTGTAGTGACTGGGGTGTGTCACAGAATGGGGAGTTCATATACTTGCATACCTGATTACTGGTGAGCACTGAATGTAAAATTAACCTGTGAAAGTCTCCTCGTCTTGGAGAGTTTCACAGAAATGATTATACTCTCATTTCCTGAAGGTAATCTCCTATTTTATTGTGGTCTAGTGTAGCTCAGTAAGCACAGTTTGGATAAGGGAGAACTTAGGTATAATCTCAAAATAAGCACAGAAAACCCTTGCCTTGGGATTTTAGGTTTACTTATTGTGTTTCTGAAACAATCTGAATGCTAGCAATCACCTGGCAAACTGCTGTTTGTTGTTTGATGCAGCTGTACCCATTTTACATTCACAGTTTAACTAGGCTCATCTGCACCTGATTAACTACAGTCGATGAACTCTGAGCAGCTGTAACTAATTAGTGCACTGAGTAACAGTCAGGACTTTGGGAGGGTCAGTTTTTCAGAGGTGGTGCTGGGTGAGCGTCAGAAATTTCTGAAATAGCTGGGGGATTTCTTTGCCTTTTTTTCCTTGGTGTATTTGCACTGTTGTGAATATAGTATCATTTGTTTATCAGCATTCCTAAATCCCTACTTGATTTCTGTCTACTGGTGACCACAGGACTGATGTTTTTAAAAGCCAGATGAGCGATGACTCTAATATCTATCTTTTAGGTATTGAGAGTTAGAATCTGCCAGGATATATTTTTCATTCAGGTACCTTTTTCCCTGTGTTCTTCTCTTTGACTCTAGTCTTGCTCATCACTATCATACTACCATTCACACTGGTGAGAGAAGCATAAATGGAACCTTATTCATTTCTGCTAGTATTAAAGACTTTCAAGAGACTTGGTCAATTTAGTTTAAGTCTTTTTTTTGTTTGTTTTTCTTTTGAAAGAATATTATGAGTAGTTGGATCTACAGAAAATAGATGTTTGTCCTTAAGTTTGTAATGGGTTCATTTTCTTAATAGAGCATTTTGGTATTACAGAAGTTGATAACAAAAGAAAA